ACAGTTCTAACCTAGAACTGATTTGGTCAGTTCTACCTAGAACGGATTTGGACAGTTCTACCTAGAACTGATCCTGACAGTTCTACCCTAGAACAGTTTTAGACAGTTCTACCTAGAACTGACTAAATATTTGGTCAGTTCTACGTCTAGAACAGTTCTACGACTAGAACAGTTCTACGGTTAGAATTGATTTATAAATTCTACGACTAGAATTGATTTATAAATTCTACGGCTAGAATTGATTTATAAATTATACGGCTAGAATTGATTTATAATTCTACGGTTAGAATTGATTTATAAGTTTTAAGAACTCTTTGTCTTAAATATAAGGCTTCGGCAAAATACCGATTTATATAGAGTTTTGCTATTTTGCCGGTCTTATTTCATATTTTGAATCAAGACAACATGTTTAACCCCGCCATATTCTGCACGAATGTGCCTGTTCCATGTCAGGAGCCTGTAATTCAGCGATTTTCTTTTGTTGATGTGTTACATAAATTATTTGTTTTTCGTTCATTTTTTGTACATAAATTAGGCCGTTAGTTTTATCATTTGAATTGTTTTACATTTGTCATTCCGGGAGTCAGGATGACTCGTTTAACAAAATTATTTGACCTCATTAACCAAATGTAATAACTTGTTTCCCAATCCACTATTATAAATAAATATGTTTTTAAATTAAACTTAAACTGACCATATTTGCTCTTCATCATGTAAATCTATATACATGTAGCCGCACACTGCAGAAATACAGTTATATTTTTAGGCAAGGATGGATTGTACAAATGACAGCAATTATATTGGAAAACAATGACTTCAAATTTTGTTTGCATCAATTTATAGTACCAGCATGTCCTCTTTTTATTCAGAATATTGAATCGTAAATAAATAGGATATCTGTTTACGAGTAGTTTTCATACCTTGGACGGACCCGATTAACAAAAATCTTTCACCGTTGACCGCATCAACCTAAACTGACATTATTTGCTCTTTTTTCTGCAAATCTATATAGCTGCACAGTAATTCAGTTATAATTTTAGGTCAAGAGGGACTGTAATATACAAGTTACAGCAATATTGGAAAACAATGACCACAAAATTTGGTTTACATAAATTTATAGTGCCAGCATGTTCTCTTTTTATTCAAAATATTGAACCGTAAACAAATAACAGTAGTTTTCATACCTCAGACTGACTCGTGTAATAAAATCTTTTGACCGCATCAACCAAAACTGACCAAATTTGCTTTTTTTTATGTAAATCTATGAAGCTGCACAGTAATTCAGTTATAATTTTATGTCAAGAGGGACTGTAGTATTCAAATAACAACAATATTGGAAATCAATGACCACACATTTTTTTTCGCATCAATTGAGAGTGCCAGCATTTCCTCTTTTTATTCAAAATATTGCATCAGAAACAAATATCAGTAGTTTTCATACCTCAGACTGACTCGTGTAACAAAATTATTTGTCCGCATTAACCTAAACTGACATTATTTGCTTTTTTTTACGTAAATCTATGTAGCTGCACAGTAATTCAGTTATAATTTTATGTCAAGAGGGACTGTAGTATACAAATAACAATAATATTGGAAATCAATGACCACAAATTTTTTTTCGCATCAATTTAGAGTGCCAGCATTTCCTCTTCTTATTCAAAATATTGCATCAGAAACAAATATCAGTAGTTTTCATACCTCAGACTGACTCGTGTAACAAAATTATTTGTCCGCATCAACCAAAACTGACCATATTTGCTTTTTTTATGTAAATCTATGTAGCTGCACAGTAATTCAGTTATAATTTTATGTCAAGAGGGACTGTAGTATACAAATAACAACAATATTGGAAATCAATGACCACAAATTTTTTTTCGCATCAATTGAGAGTGTCAGCATTTCCTATTTTTATTCAACATATTGCATCAGAAACAAATACCAGTAGTTTTCATACCTCAGACTGACTCGTATAACAAAATAATTTGTCCGCATCAATCGAAACTGACCATATTTGACAGCATCACCCAAAACTGACCATATTTAACCATGTTAACCGCATCAAACAAAACTGACCATATTTGCTCTTTTTTATGTGATATTTTTATGTAAGGATGGATTGTATAATACAAATGATAGCAATATTGGAACACAATGACTACCAAATTTTGTTTGCATCAATTTTGAGTGCCAGCATGTCCTCTTTTTATTCAAAATATTGCATCATAAACAAATATCAGTAGTTTTCATACCTCAGACAGACTGGTATAACAAAATTATTTATCCGCAACAACCAAAACTGACCATATTTGCACTTTATTATGTAAATCTTAATAGCTGCAAAGTAAATCACCTATATTTTTATATCAGGATGGATTGTATAATACAAATGACAGCAATATTGGAAAACACTGACTACAAAATTATGCTCGCATCAGTTTATAGTGCCACCATGTCCTCTATTTATTCAAAATTTTGAATCGTAAACTAATTTCAGTAATTTTGATATCTCAGACTGACTCATATTACAAAATTATTTGTCCGCATTAAGGTTCATCATAACAAACTTTTGAAAAAATAAAAAAAAAACATTTAAAAATATTTCTGCCAAACAATTTATGACTTATTACATATCAATGTGTTCATCATGGTCATTACTATCATAGTGTTACATTGATTTAAATATTAAATGTCAAATAAAAGAAATATAATACCAAATGTAAGTCCTTTTGTAGAAAAAATGCCCTGTATATCTTCTGTCTTCTAAAACTATGAAAAATAAAAAAAAACATTCTTTGTAACTATATCTATGTGCTACCAATGTTATTTAATGCATTAATTGCAAGATTTCAATTAAATTCTAATGTTAGTGTTTGGTTTTCATTTGAAAAAAATATATGAAATCTTCCATCTTGGAACTACTTTTGGGAAAAGTATGGAAAGCATGTTTTCAAAAATCAATGAATGGTAAAATGTTATATAATATAAATGAAGTTAGAAAGTTACCATGGTGGGTGATTAAAATTGAACCTTATTGTACCAAATCAATTAACTTCATCAGTAGATAAAGAAAATATCTGTTTTTTGTTAAAAAAATATAAATAAAATTTTTGAATGCTTATTACCTCCCTTTTTACATACAAAATGTATTTAGTATGTATACCAACAGATAGCAAAACATTATGAATTACGTGCATTTGTTCCATGCAAAAGGCCATACATTGAACATAATTTGTTTGAACCAACAGCTTTTTGTTTCTTGATTATATTGTTCTCTTTGGCAATCATACCACCAATGTCATATAAATTTTATATTTGAAATATTGCTTGTTTCATTGTTTGGATTATTGTATTTGATTATCTAGACCAAGCTCAGACAACCTTATTTTTGAAGTGTTGTTGTATAATTAAATTATTTGTAAGGAAAGCATCCTTATCAAGCTATTGCTGCACATTAAATTATCATATTGTACTTACATCTATAAATCAATCAATTTCAAAGAGGAATTTGTAAAATCCTCTAGCAAATGATCAATTTCATAAGGTTCATCACAGTCTTCATATAAAACTTCATATACAGCATCTTTGTCTCCATCTTTATTCTGGATAACAGAAATTACCCTGCCTGTATACCACTTTCTGTTGTTGTTTTCCTCCACCCATTCATGTAATATTTCTCTCCCAACAAATTTTGGTCCAGAACATTTGCGTTTTGATCTGAAAACAAAAGAACAATTAATTATTTATAAACTTCCATAACAAGTTTAATAACAATTTTAATTATCCAAGTAAATGGGATGGTTGCATTTTTTTTATTGTAATTTTCTAAAAGAATTAATATATTGTTTTTTTTTATAATAAATCAACATTTATATGTGTAAACGCTGATTAGGGACAACTTCAATTTGTGTAGGCCATAACCATCACACAGAAAATTTAATAAAATGCTCCGCTGGGCGCAGCTTGATACGACTGCAGAGGTCGAACCCTGAACAGTTGGGGCAAGTATGGACACAACATTCAAGCTTGATACAGCTCTGAATTTGGATTGTGATTAAATATTTGACACAGCATAGGTTTCTGACACAGAATGAATGTGGTCTATGAACTTAAAAATTTTAAATTTACCTATTCAAACCATATCATTATTATTTGCTTTTATATATGAATCAGAAATAACCAACTTAAAATGGAAAATTTTAAAGAAAAAAAAAATAGGAAAAAAAATACCCCCCCCCCAATTTTTTTAACCCCCTTATGATTCATCACCCCCAAACTCAATCCCAGCCTTTCCTTTGTGGTATGGTACCTTGTAGTACAATTTCAGAGAGATCCATACATTGAACACAAGTTATTGTCTGGAAACTAGAATAAACTGCTTCGCTGAGCGCAGCTGGATACGCCCGCAGAGGTCTAACCCTGAACAGTTGGGGCAAAAATGGACACAATATTCAAGCTTGATACAGGTCTGAATTTGGATTGTAATTAAATATTTGACATACATCTATTATAGGTGTCTGAATAATGTAGTCAAAGATCTTGAAGTTGGTTATATGAATTGAATTTATATTCAATTAAAGATTTCTTGCTGTTGTGCAATACACTGTGCTGTTGCGCAATACTTAGTAAATCTGTTGTCAGACTATAAACAAATAAAATTTATAAAATTCTAAAGGGAGCTTACACCAATAGATATAAACAGTTTACCAAAGTTTCATACGAATTGCTGAAAGCATTTTTGAATTTTTGTCTGAAAACTGGAAAATCCCCCCTTTTTTAATGAATAAAACCCCATAACTCGGAAACGTTAAATCTAAAATTTATAAAAAACGAAAGGGAGCTCACGTCAATAGATATAAACAATTCACCAAAGTTTTAAGCAAATTG